CAGAAATAACTGATCTGGAAAATCATCTAAAATTTTTCTATAAGAAAACTTGTCTTTTGTCAGACGATCTGCATCCCTTTGAATTAATTGAAAATTCTTATAGCACAATAGTTATAACGGATACTCAACTCTTAATTATCCTAAAGATCCTTATCCTTGATGAACATCAGTTTCCCCTTTACCATATTTACCCCGTCCAAAACAAAGACGCAATCATTTTGATACCCCCGGCTACCCATTATGGAGACAATCATTGGTACCCTGACTGCAAGCACACGGAAAAGAAGATTATATGCCAATCAATGTCGTCTAGCAAATGCCAATTGCCAACATTGGAAAACTGTACAACAGCCATAACAGTTTTTCACCAACCGATCATCCACCGTACTGAGAACAATCTTATAGTACTGAGCACAAACAGGCAGATCCAAGTCTTTGAAAACTGTTCCGGAGAAGTGGAAAATGTCAACCAACCAGTAATAGTCCAGTCAACATGTGCAGTAAAAATTGACCAAAAATGGTATACTACAGCAAGTCAGAAGATCCAGATCCCAGATGTTGTTCCTGTAAAACTGAATCCCAAATTCCAAATACACCTGGACCAGATCGACAAAATTCAAGAAACACCCCGACTGTCTGTGATCCAGCCAACGCATCTAAGGCCCATCTTCATCTCATCCATATCTTGGACTGTTGCAACCCTGTACGTCATCCTGGCTGCAACCATTGTGTATTTCGTTTCAAGAAAACGAAAGAGACTACACACCCTGTTCTTCAAGCCAAGGCTTCCCTTGAAGGATCTTCAAGAACTTCAGGCCAACCAGCAGAAGTTCGAGGGCGAACTTCCATCCTAAGGAGGGAGGAGTTATGTATCCAACCGGATACGGTAACCATACGTCGGCACATGAACGGCGTTCACCTTTACCGGAAATGCAACATAGACATTTTTAGTTTACTTGGTTTATATTTTTGTTAATCAGTTCAGTTCATAACTCATCCTTGTAATAGTCGGTCGGTACTCAAATAAATATTTTTTAAAAAGTAAAATCCTGGCTTCGAGAATTTATCTCGCTTTTTACAGAGTTTATAAATATACCTACCGTAATTTGCATTATATTCAGTTATAACTATTTCTCGGTCCGTTTCACATCAATTTTGTACGTTTTGAAAACAAAAGTTTTTTAAAAACTTATTTCGGAGTCGTACTTCCGTAAGTGGCGCAGTCGCAGTAGGATCTACGTCGGGCGAGTTTCTATCGCAGATTACGGCGAGTACTCGGTTCGTTTTAACGTTTTACCTGACACGGACATCAAACCAGGACACTCCAAGAAGTTCCTGAAGAAGAAGAAGAAGCCGACCAGAATAGTTGGGACTCATCCAAGGCGGATCCATCAAGGAAACCACCACCTAGGGCCTAGCGATAAGGATAGATAAGAAAACAACCACACCCAAGGCAGGATCCATCGAGGAAACCACCAACGGGAGATCAAAGATAAGATTAGAGTTAAGGCAAATCACCACATCACAGATGAGGATCATCTTGTGGCTATCGTAAGACTCATTTCCTTTCGTATTTTTCCCTTAGTTCCCATTATTTTTCTTATATCTACGACAATCAATATTTGTTTGCTAGATACCATTTTGAGCAAATTGAGGGATCGTGCTGCAGATTTAATTGGTTCGCGATCAGAATTAAATTCATGGGTAGCAATAAAAGATTTTCTTACTGTAACTTTTTCCGATCAACGGAGTATTGATTGTCTCATTCAAGATTTAATATCAATAAGACCTTTGAGAAATGTAACACCTGTGCAATTTGGATTGAGAATCCAGGAAGCAAGGAGTTTGCTGTTTTCAAAATTGAATACTTTCATTGAAAATGCTATGGAAAAGTTGATCAAAATCAGACATTATGACGATTTTGCTTTGAAAACTTTTATTAGTGGCTTGCCATACCAAATGCAATTGGTTATCCGTTTGAAAAATCCCGATTCATTAGAACAAGCGTTGTCATTTTGCACAGAAGAAGAAAATTTCATTTACTTTAGTACTGGGCGTAACCAGAACCTCCAGAGTAACTTATACAAACCTCAACCTAGACTTAGTCCTCATTTTGTCGCTAATCAACCGAATACTAATCATACTGTTACAAATGGTCTATAAGTAAGATATATTCAAACTTCATTTGTTCAAAGCTCTCAAAATTACCCGAAACCAATGATGAATACTCTCCCTGGAAATTATTCTCATAGGCCTAATTTCAATAATAATTTTTCTCCTAGATCTCAGTTTTCTAATTACCCTTCCACTTCATATGCTCAAAATCAGACACAATTCCCGAGATTCAACAAGGCTAACGTATCTGTTCAACGTCCATATTAAAACTTCCAAAGGCCACCTTTCTCTACTAATAGACCTGCATATCCACAAATTACTGCAAGTAATAACAGTAATGTCACAACTAGGACAAGATATCCGATTCCTATGGATACGAGTCCAATCCATTCGAAACCGAATGCAAACCCATCCACCCAACACTTATTTGCTCACCAAATTGAAAATGAACAATCACCTATCAATGAAAACCAGTGCAATCCACCATATGAGCAATATGACTATCCTAATTATGATTTCTCTTATGATGTTCCAAATCAGCATTTCAACCCAATGCTTGACAATGACACATATTCACAAGAAGTTAACGACCCAACAATTGAACAACAAAATTTTTCCCATGTGCCTCCGAACATCAAACAGATATAATATATTTGAATAATATCCATACATATCTACCTTACATTTATATTCCCGAATTAACTGCTTATTTTTTGATCGATACCGGTAGTTCCAGAAGTCTTATAGACCCAAATTAGCGTATAAATTTTATTCAGATTATATTTCTGGCGAAAATTTCAATATTCAAACAGCTCATGGTATGACGTTCCATAACCAAGTAGCACATATTCCTGTATTCCAAATTTTCAATACTGACGATTTTCATAAATTCTACATTTTTGGCTATTCTGATAAATATGATGGCATAATTGGTGCTCACCTATTAGAACAGCTACAAACCAATATTGATTTAAAAAATAAAATGCTAATGGCCCATATCCCCATTATTTTCGAAAATAAATCAAATTGTCCGAATCCACCTAAAAAATTTCAGACTTACCAAATCACCATAACCCCTCGACAGAACAAGTTGTGAAAATTCCCGTGAAGTTGAATAGCGGAACAGGTGTTCTAGAGTATACAAATTTTGGTAACAAATTAGAGATGCCTCAAGCTTTGGTGAATATTTCGGACAATTTTGCTATCACTACGATTATTAATTCCAGTGAGGAAGCTGTACATTTAGAAATCAATAATCCTTTAGATATTGAACCTATATAAATTTTTGATGTGCATGAAACTGATGGAAACTTTGACAAAAATTATAATAGCATATTAAAGAATAATCTGCAAAGTTTACGTCTTGATCACTATAATGAAGAAGAAGCGGATGCTATACACAAGCTTTGTTTAGAATTTAGAGACATTTTTCACTGCGAAAATATCCCATTAAGCTTCACTAACAAAATTAAACACAAAGTTAGGTTGACCGATGATACCCCCATCTTTACAAAAAGTTATCGTTATCCAGAAATTCATAGAAATGAAGTTAAACATCAAATTTCGAAAATGCTACAGCAAGACATTACTCAAGCTTCAACATCACCCTTTCATCCCTATATGGATAGTACCAAAAAAGAAAGACGTTTCAGGCAAAAAGAAGTGGCGAATTGTAATAGATTATAGAAAACTTAATGAACGTACAGTCGACGATAAATACCCTCTTCCAAACATAATTGATATTTTGACAAACTCGGTCGAAGTCAATATTTTACGACACTTGATCTGGCTAGCGGATTCCATCAGATTGAAATGGAACCAGAAGATATTCCAAAAACAGCTTTTTCAACTGAAAATGGTCACTGGGAATTTAAAAGAATGCCTTTTGGTATGAAAAATTCTCCAAGTACTTTCCAACGCGTCATGGATAACATCCTGCGTTGTCTTCAAAATGAAATATGTCTCGTCTATCTAGACGACATTGTAGTTTTCAGTAGTTCTCTTCAAGAACATATTGTACGTTTAAGACAAGTATTTGCAAAGCTCAGAGAATCAAATTTTAAAATCCAAATGGACAAATCGGAATTTTTAAGGAAAGAGGTTCAATATTTAGGACATGTCATTACCCCAGAGGAAGTAAAACCAAACCCAGATAAAGTTTCGGCAGTAAAAGATTTTCCTATTCCTAACAATCAAAAAGAGATCAAATCATTCCTAGGTCTCGTAGGTTACTATCGCAGATTTATTAAGGACTTTGCAAAAATTACCCGTCCAATGACACTTTGTCTTAAAAAAGAAGCTAAAGTCGTCCACACACCCGAATTTATAAAATCTTTCGAACATTGTAAAGATCTCCTAGTAAATGCACCCATACTCTCATAGCCCGATTTTGAAAAATCTTTCATTGTCACTACCGATGCCTCGAATCAAGCTGAAGGTTGTGTGTTATCTCAAGGTATCATTCCTAATGATAAATCAGTCGCTTATGCTAGTCGCACTCTAAACGAGACTGAAACTCGATATACTACTACCGAAAAAGAACTTTTGGCTATTGTATATGCTTGCAAACAATTTAGGCCTTACATATTTGGACGTAAATTTTATATATATCCAGATCATCGCCCTCTAGTTTGGTTGATGAATGCTAAAGATGTTAATAGCAGACTTGTATGTTGGCGACTCAAATTAATGGGCTATCAATATGAAATCATATACAAAAAAGGAAAATGTAATACTAATGCCGATGCATTGTCACGTATTCATGTAAATGCAGTAGAATCAGCTAGTGTCATAAATAACCCAGGTGACATTGATCAGGATATTCAACATTATTTAAATCAGTTGTTTGCCAATAAACAATCTCTCCCAGATTTGGAAGAAGATACCTTAGCATTGTTAAATTCAGATCCCGGAAATCCTGTTACGGCTTCACAACCATTAGATTCTTCAAGAAAAATACACATTTTACAAGATGTTCAAGTAGCTCCACCGAATAACATACAAAATGAATCTCCTAAAGACAGCGAAACCGAGACAGCCCACACTTGTAACGCAGAAAATGATGGTATTCCTATACTAGATGAAATAATCAATAATAAGGTAACCCAAGTTATTGTTTCTAAAAATCCACACAATCAAACAGATGTCAAACAAGAAGCCTTTGATAATCATAAAATTCTTTATGTGAAAATTCCAAATTCTGCTTCAGCCATAAATCAGTTTCTTAGAGAATACACATCCAATGACAGAACATTTTATCTGTACTTCCATGAGGATTCACTTATGTTTAACAAAGTATTCATAGATAATTTCGATAGCAATGAATTAAAATTGGTTAAATGTACAAAATTAATCAATACTGTCAAAGAAAAAGATGAGCAACTTATGCTGATTAAATTTCAACATGAAGGCAAGAGTAATCATAGAGGAATCAATGAAACATTAGAAAAACTCAAACGAAATTATTATTGGCCCCGCATGAAGTCCGATATCACACATTTTAATAACGATTGTGTAATTTCCCAAAAAGCTAAATATTCTAGAAATCCCCCATATATTCCACTGGTATTGACAGAAAGCATAGGAAAACCCTTCCAATTATTACATGCTGATGTAGTTACATTCAATAGTCAACATTTTCTGACGATTATTGAAGCTTTTTCCAAATTAGGACAAGCAGTTCCAATCCAAGCAAAGACCTCTGTCGAAATTTGTAGAGCATTTTTACATTATTTTTCATATTATGGTCTACCTGAGCGTATTACTCTTGATAATGGTACAGAATTTAAAAATGAGACTATTAGGGAACTCTTGAAATGTCATAAAATCGATGTGCATTTTACTACACCTTTACATCACGAATCAAATTCACCAATAGAAAGATTCCATTCATCACTAATTGAGCATCTCAGAATACTTTTACAAAAATTTCCAAAAGAAGCGACCACTAACCTTATCAATTACGCTTTAATAGCATATAACCGTTCATTACATTCTGCTACAAAATTCACGCCATTTGAATTGACTTTTGGGCACACTATTTCCAGAGATCCTTCGGACCTTATCGAAACTACTTTTTACTCTGACTATGCTTCAAATCATAAAGATAAAATGAAACATCTATACCAGCGTATTTCAAACGATTTGCAGGAAAATAAAGCCAAAGTACTCGAAAAACGTAACATTCATGGTAGCTCACAATATTAGTTCAAAGTAGGGCAAGTAGTCTATAAAGCCAATCGTAGAAGAAATAAAAAAGACAACAAATTTAAAGGTCCATTTGAGTTAGTAGAAATCTTAGAACATAACAAAGCAAAAATCAAAAATAAGTCCACAAATAAAAAAGAAACAATACATATGGAGGAACTCAAATTCCACGACCTCAGCGACAATCCTGGCCTCCTTCCCTTAAAATTAGGAAACGCCCAGAATATTGCTGATTATTGGTCATTCATACAAATATTTGATATTTCCTATCTAGCTGAACAATTCTCAGAATTGCAAGTAATTTTTGGACAATTGAAAATGGATATTGAAAATTCCTATTTTACAGAAATAAAAAATCAGTGTAATCTAATATTATCATTAGAATCAAAGATTCATGATCAATTGTTACAGATAAATCCAGTTTATAATATAATATAAAAATTATAACAGGAAATTTAGATGAATCAGATGCGAAACGTTATGATCAAGCATTATTATCATTATCGAAAAATCAAGAGAGAATCAAAACTTTAGTCCAGGAACAAGTTACAATTATCAGTCAGGCTCTAGATGTTTTTGAGCAAACATCGAAAAATATTACAAAAAACCAATTAATTTTAGAATCACGTATCCTGCAATTTGAGAAATCTCTGATGGCTCTTCAGACAACAGATTTGCACTTAGAAAACTAACTTTTTATACAAATTGTAATTTCACAAATATTAACTTCATTTCGATATATCCACGATGTTTTAGAAAAATTAGAGGTTGCAATATCTTTTGCAAAACTTAATACATTCCATAATTCTATATTGAAACCTCAAGACCTTCTAGTAGAAATAAAGCTTATCTCAGAACATTTACATGATGTCAAACTACCATTTGAACAAGCACAGACTCCAAGAAATCCCCGCTAATCCAATTATTGATCTCCAATCAGTAAACATCTGGACCATATTACTTTATTCTCTAATTGCCTTCATCTGTGGCTACCTCACTGTTAAATCCTACTTTAAAAGAAAACAAGCCGAGAAGAAGAAAGAAAATAGAGAAACCGAAATTATTGTTTGAAGCTAAGAACGATAAAGATAGAAGATAAGTTATAGAAGATAAACGTTAAGGAGAAAGAAGATAGAAATTATCCAAGAAGAACGAAAACTTTCAAACTTCACCGTTGGTTCAGTTTCTACGGCGGGAGGAGTTACAGACACCAGATATGCATAATTGTAGAATTGCATTTCACATAGCTTGCACTTTTTACAGAGTTTATAAATACACCGTAATTTGCATTATCTTCAGTTCTAGCTATTTCTCGGTCCGTTTCACATCAATTTTGTACGTTTTGAAAAGAAAAGTTTTTTAAAAACTTATTTCGGGGTCGTACTTCCGTAAGTCGCGCTTTAACTCCCTTGACTCACTTAATATTCTGGAGAGCTCTGTGTCTGATATGATACCTCTTTGTGACGAATTAGTAATAATGGGTGATTTAAATATAAATTTAGTAAAGCGTAATAAAATGACTGAGTCCTTTGACACGTTTTTAGATACTTTCAACTTTACTCAAGTAGTATTAGAACCAACGAGATTCTCAGCAGATTCAGCCAGCTTACTTGATGTGATTATACTGTCTGACAATGACTTGTTGTCGGGTACTGTGAGACACATTGATATGCATAATGTTACAGACCATCAGCTCTTGGTTTGTGACCTTAATATCTTGATTTCAGGGTTAACTCCTAAATTCATTACTTTCAGAGACTTTAAAAGTTTTGATAAGGAAAAATTTGATTTAGACTTGCATAATATTAATTTAAATAATATTTTTTTCCGGAATAGTATGGAGGATAAAGTACAGTTATTAACCAATGAAATCCTACAACTCTTTAACCATCATGCACCGCTACGAACTATTCGTGTTACTAAACCAAGGGCCCCATGGTTTACCGAAAATCGAAAGTTACTGAAGCAATATCGCAATAGACTTTTATCTAAGTATAAGAAATCAAGAGACGTTCAACATTGAGAGGACTATAAACGGGTGAGAAATCTTTTTACCATATCAGTACGAAATGAGAAGCGGGCGTATGTAAACCATATGAACAGGAGTCATAACAAAAAGAAAATTTGGAATACTCTTAGTGAAATGAATTTCAACAAAGGAAAAAAGGGTAGTGTAGACATCCCTAGTCACCTAAAAAACGCTGATGAAATTAACAATTTTTTTACAGACTCAATTCTTAACATATCTCCCCCAGTCAACCCACAAACATTGAATAGATATACAAACGAGAAGGCTACAAATAACTGTTTTGAGTTCTCACTACTAAATGAAGCTGATATACTCCATGCACTTAAGAAATTAAAGTCAAATGCTTCTGGGTTGGACCAACTAAGTTTAGACATGATCAAACTATGTTTTCCATCTATTGTCCCTGTTCTCCTTCATATTTATAATAGTTGTATCGAAAAAAGCATTTTTCCAGCACAGTGGAAAGATGCTATGGTCTTGCCGTATCCTAAAACAACCAATCCGGAAAGTTTGGCCGACCTGAGACCTATGTAACATTGACAAAGGTGAAACCATTGGCCTGATGCTCTTGGACTATAGTAAAGCCTTTGATGTGCTTGATCACGAGTTGCTTTGCGGGAAATTGTCGTTTTATGGATTTTGTGAGAATGCTGTTTCCTTTATTAATTAAGTAGTGAGGGTGGATGATAAATTATCGCAACCTGTGATCCTACGGAAGGAAGTACCGCAAGGTTCTATCCTTGGACCGCTTCTCTTTGTCATATTTACTATGGACATGAGTAATTATCTGGATAATTGTGGATTACATCAGTATGCCGATGATACACAAATAGTTCCGCCTGCTGACATGCAATTTAAAATAAATCAATTATTAGAATCGATGTCTACATATTCCATAAATAACGGTTTAAAAATAAATCCGTATATTATTATTATGTATTGTGGAGTCAATCGTCATGAGGCATCACAGAATGTTCATGCTGTCATGAATGGTGTGGGGATAGGAAGAATATCAAAATTTAGGAGTTGTTTTGGATCAAAACTTGAAGTTTAGAACGCATGTTAATGAGATTGTTCAAAAATGTTATATGTCGCTACGAAACTTATATAAGAATAGATTAATTTTAAATAGGGACCTAAAAAAGCATTTGTGTGAGTCGCTGGTTCTTTCAACCTGCAATTACTGTGATATTGTTTTTTGTACCATTTCTAGATCAAACTTTTAAATACAAATTGCAAAATATTAAAGATTCATGCATCAGGTTTATTTTTGGGTTTAGGAGAGAGGATCATGTCAGTTCGAAGCTTCCTGACTTGGGTTGGCTAAATATGGCTGACAGGTACATGCTTCATTTTGCCTGTTTCTTGTATAAGGTGACAGAGAGTGGGGAGCCTAGGTATATTGGAAGTAAGTTAAGTGTTCGAAGTTTAATCCATGATCGCCCTACACGGTATAACAAGAATTTTAGTATTCCAAGACATCGCAGTGCCTTGTTTCAGCGCTCTTTTCCGTATACGGCTCCTAAAATCCTTAATTCACAAATTTGTGGAAAATATAATACAGTGGCGGTAGCTGCATTTAAAAGGAAATTCAAAAATGCCCTGCTTGCGAATTATTAGTTGAACTACCTGTTGGTTGCTGCTCTAGTGCTTTGTATTCATATTCTAATCTTATTGTTTTTTTTATTGTTTGTATATAATCACTTAAG